CTGTTTTTTTGTCATTCCCAAGAAGATAGGAGATTGCTGACTTCTCATAAATTTATTGTCCTTGAACCAATTTCTTGTCATGGTCAGTTTTCTTACTCTGAGGTAGGTGCTCTCTCCCAGACTCTGGATGACCAAGATCTATGTTTCAGATGAATTTCTTTACATATTGACTAATCTGACTGCCTGGCATTTTTCCTGGTTCATCCAAGAAGGTCAGACTTTTCAGTTCCAGGCCCTTCCTTCAAGGAGGCCACTGCCTTGTATAGGTTTTCAGTTAGGTTTTGAGGACATTCACATGGAAGATACATTCATTAGGCCTACATTTTCACTGTTATGTGGATGACTGGTTCTTTCTAACCCAGCTGAAATAAGCATCCTCTCAGCTGCTGCCTCCACTGTCTTTTGGAAGTTGACTTGTTTGAGTTGGAAGTCAACTTCTCAAAGTTTTTTACCCCACCCAGTATATCTAATTCACTTGGAAATTTTTTCACCTCATTTAAAGACCAGGCTCAGCATTATTTATGTTTTTAAGAGATGAAGCTTCTGGTTACTAAAGTTCTCATGTCTCCTTCCCTTGCTGCACAAGAGATTCTTTTGGGGACTCTGACTTCTTTCAAGTCTCTTGTTCCTCATATATGTCCTATTCAGTAAACTCTGGCTGATCACTGGAGTATGCCCAAAGATCCATTGTCTTCTCTTGCATCTCTCCCTTCTCTTCATCTCTTGCAGTCATAATTGCTCATTCAGTTCCACATGATCCTGGACATTTCATTTCCTCCCACCTTGCCCAGACTTGTATCTGTTCACAGATGCCTTTCTGTGTGGGTGGTGCATGGTTTTGGACACCTGCATTTTTTCTGGGGTCTGGTATCCAGAGTAGCAATTTTTAAGTATCAAGGTTCTTGAGATTTTGCTTACAATCATCTAATGTCTCGTCTATCTGGTCATCTTGATGTGATACATTGAGACACTTCTACTGTCATTTGTTACAATGACTGACAATGAGGCACTTGCTCTCAGGATCTCTGCTTTCTGATACTAGGCTTCCTATTTTGGGCTCACATTTGGTTGTTGACCTGGCAGAGCAACTCTTGCCTAGACCAGATGGTGTTTCAGTGGATTTGTTTCCAATTTAGGAATCCTCTCATTGATGCCATTGTGACTTCCATCACCACCAAATTTCAACTGTTCTGTTTAACAGTCTATATGTCTATCAATGACCTTCCATTTCTTTTCTGGTCATGCTTGTTTTTTCTTTTTCTGGTTCCCCCATTCAGACCTTTAGTCACCTGTTTCCTGTACCGTATTTTTCTAGTGATGTATTATCTTCTTGATTGCAAGAGATATCATTCTCACATTTTTGTCATAGCTGCCTCCCACACTTTTTATCACAGAGACAAGTTGATTTTATTCCCATATCACTCGTTTCTCCTCAACATTTGGGCTGCCTGAAAAGGTGATCAGATGTGTTTTACAATAATCTTTTCTTTTCTGTTCAGTTCCTCCAACCCATATCCTATTCTTTGTCCTATTCAAGCAGTTTGTTCTTCTCTTGCTTGTACTACTCCCTTTCAGGTAATTAACATTTTTTTTCTGTGGGATTCCTCTTCCTCTCATGACTTATTTTCTTCCCTTTTCTTTGAGCAGTTGGGTTAAAAAATCATTCAACTAGTTTATTTCTCTATGGATGATGACATCTTTCATCTTTTTCATATGACCTCCCATCAAGTTTATAATCATGATTTCACTTGTCTTTAGCCATTGATATCTCCTTAATTAGATTTTGCAGGCAATAATGTGGAATGACTCTTGATATCTTTGTGTCACATTACTTATACCACACTGCTGTTTCATTTGTCTCTAGTTTTCATCTCCCTCCAGTTGCTATTTTTCCATCTTTACTGAATCTTTATGGAGTTGAGTGTTTGATTTTGTTCTTTTTTTTCAGCTCTAACAACCACATTATTTCAATGTATTGGAGTTGATGTAACCCACCACATAGCCAATACTGACTCATAACGAATACTCCTCTATCTCCAAAAATCCATATCAAGTAGGGGATAATAGATTGTGTTAAACTCATCTTCCTTTGTTAAGTTTCTACTGTTGAAATGGGGAGACATATTTTACCTGGCAGGCCTTACTCCAGGAAAAAAAAATTACAGTGTCAGCTTTGATTTTACATTCACACCTGGTAAATACCTGCAGTTGCTATTTGTGGTAACTCATTACATGGTCTATCAGTATAGCACTTTTTGCAGAGGAGATGATTCCTTTTTGGTTTGCATACTTCTCTAATGTTCTCCCCAATGCAACTTTCTCCATTCCATTTCCTCTAATGGAATGGGAAAACCCATGTCTTATGTTACTGAAGAGATCAATATGCCCCATTGAAGTGGTATGAAAACAAGTAGATGCACCCCTCAGTTGGAAGTAGGGTTGGTATGTTCAACTGGTTGTGTAGTAAAGGCCACTCCCTACACTAAGAACAAGAATGTGTCTTGTGGCTATGCCAGTCAGTTGGATCTAGTGTTCTACTCACACATGGATCTGGGATGATACATCCCTGCACCTGCCTTTTCTAGTAGGTCTTTCACATATTTTTTACATACTGTATAGCTTGGCTTATTGAGCTAGTCACACTGCACATGCATAGTCTACTGATCCTCTGAGATATACAGGCCAGTTGGGCAGTTTTTACATTCTACCCATTATGCAACTCTAGCTTTATGCAGAAAATTTTTTTGGACAATACCTTTTGCTCTACCATATTTTTTGGGCAAATAGAGTATTTTCTGCGAGTGATGAATGCAGTCTTCCACTGAGTGATGCCCCCCTTGGCCTCTATACCTCAGTTAGTGACATACTCCATGAGTTTTCTCTTTTTCATGTTGTTATTTTCTTTATCTATAGCATTCTTTAAGTTATTCTATCAATGTGAGATTCTAGCACTCAGTTCTGTGGAGAGGTAATTTTTCTGAAGCTAACATTTTTTACCCGAAAATGTATTTCAGATGGATAGTCACCTCTTCACAGAACCACTCACCCTTCCTCCCCACTTCTGGTGTGTCTCTTTTACCTCATCAAGAATGAGCCTTTGGTATACACAGTGTGCTGAAGAAAAGTGCTGCACAAGGAGGATGTGTTGCCCCCCCTTTTTGGTTGAGGGCTATAGTCTAATGCTGAGTGCATTATAGACTTGTGCAGTACACATTAATATGTGAAGGGTAGGAATTTTATTCATGGCTTGACACTTGTGCATAAATCTTTTTGGCAGTTGTACGAGGTAATAGCTCTCAGTTCTGTGGAGAGGTACCTATCTGAAGTACGTTTCCAGGTAAGGAAAGTCTTAATAATATTCAGTGTTACATTTTCCATTATATTTAATAATATATTTGATTAGGTAGACTATTGCAATTTTCTTTTTACATTTGTTCTTTGCTATGAATGCTACAAAATTTAATAGTATACAAGGAGAAATCATTTCTAACCATCAACATTCAAAAGTTGTTTATCATTTCATCTGCCCTCATTGGGAATGAGACTTCATGTGATTGCTTGTTTGTTCTCTATTGATATATATATATATATATATATATATATATATATATATAGACTATACTAGACGTGGTAGTTAAGTAA